TTCTTTCCTCCATAGGAATAAAGACTTCCAAAGGCTTCTTCTCCTCCCTCTTATCTCCAGATCTGATTACATGCTGACCCTCAACATTTCTTACTCCCGCTATCGTCTCCTTATATGTTCTGCCATCACGAAACTTGTTCAACAGCTCCTTCTTCCCAACATCAACATCTTGACATAATGGACTTTTCCTTTTGGAAACCTCCACACATGCATCTCCAGGCCACGCTACACTATTGCACTTAAGGTTCCCTGGAAAACTGCTATTCTAATATTTTGCAGTCGAAACCACTATTCTCCTCCCATCTACCATGACATTATTCATCTTACTCATTGCATTCAGTAAATCCTCCTTGCTTGCAAAGTGCACAAAGGCAAACGTTTTATCTTTATAGTTAGGTCTCCTATTAATGAATGGAATGAACACCTTAACCACCTTGCCATGAAGACTAAAACGATCCCATAAAACACTTCTATGCACTCTTCTACTAAGATTGTCTATAAATGCTACCCACGATCCTCCACCAGGCACTGTTCTACCTCTGCCACGATCCTCCATTTTTCAACTCAATCCAAGGAAAACACACTTAATAGCCCGCAAATCTAACGTACCTCGATATTGTTTATGAATATGGACAAAAACAAATGATCCAAACACTCGAACAGGAAGGGTACAAGCCATGGGTTTAAAATATGGATAGGTTCGAAGTAACATCTATTTTGGTGTTTGAAATCTCAAAATTCGATTAGGTAAGTGGTTTATGAGGTAGGTAGCAGTAAGCAAGGCCTTGCCCCAAAATCATTTAGGTACATTGGCTGAAAACAACAAAGAACGGAAAACCTCAAGAATGTGCTTGTTTTTCCTCTCTGCCACCCTATTTTGTTGGGGAGTATCAACACACGAGTTAATGTGAATAATGCCTTTCTCATTAAGAAAGGAACTCAATGTTTTGGTAAAAAACTCACTGCCATTGTCACTCTTAAGGATTTTGATGTGGCTGTCAAATTGGGTTCGAACCATATGATAAAAGGTATGAAAAATACTCTCAGTTTCATATTTGGTTTTCATTAAATACGTCCAAGTGGTTCGAGTGTGATCATCCATTTAGCCCCGATTACATTAGGAATAGACCCCAAATATCAGTGTGAATAAGAGAGAAAGGTTAGGATGGTTGATAAAATGAAGATGGAAAAGATGGTCGTTTATGTTTTGCAAGTTGGCATACATCACAGGTAAAAGAAGATACTTTTTTATTAATAAATAATGCAGGAAACGACTTTTGCAAGAAATGGAAGTTTGGGTGACCAAGGCGAAAATGCCACAACATAATGTCATTCGAATTTAAAGATGGTAAAGTGGAAGAGAAACAAACAGAAGAAGAGGTAAAAGAACAGCCTGATCGAGCTTGTCTTTGAGGAGGAGAACCGCCTTCAAGAATGTATAGCCCACTACACAGATCAACACTGCCAATCACCCACTCCGAGTCTGTTTCCTGAAAAGTACAGCCATGAGAACGAAAATTAGTGAGGCGGTTCAGATCACTGCACAATTTACTAACAAACAAAAGGTTGCAATCCAGTTTAGGAACATATAAAACAGATTGGAGCACAAGGTTCTTATTAACGGCCACTGCGCCAGTGCCTTCCACAGCCGTTAAGGAGCCATCAACAGTCTTAACAAATCGCTGAACCGTAGGCTGCATGAAATCGGTGAACAAATTTCGATTTCCTGTCATATGATCAGTAGCACTCGAGTCCACAATCCAAGAAAACGGAGAAATATTGGTTAGGAAGAGAGCACTACCAGATGGATTCATGGTCGCAGGAGTTTGGTCAACACAAGACAAATTTCTTCGAACCAACTGGTTTAATTCTTCAAGCTACTGCAGATTGAAATTGAGAGATGAGTTGGATTGCGCAACGTTGGCGGAAAGATTCTGCACTGGCCGTTGGCGTTGTGGTTTCTAATCAGCAGGTCGACCATGTAGTTTCCAACAATTCTCCTTTAGATGGCCCGCTCGACGACAATGATAACACCATGGCTTACCAGATTTTTGTTTTCTGGAAGTGGCAGAATGCGTTAGCAGAGCAGAAACTTCGATTGGGGAAGATTCGATCATTATTAGTGTTCGACGGCTTTCTTCACGCCGAACCTCGGAAAACACCTCTCCAATGGAAGGAAGAGGTTTGGTGCTGAGAATTCGGCCACGAACAGCATCCAAACTCTTATCCAATCCATTGAGAAACTGGAAAATACGTTTCTGGTTCACTATCTTCTTGTAGAGGGCAGCATCGGTCACACAAGTCCACGCATGAGCTTCATACAGATCGATTTACTGCCAATATCTATTCAATGTGTTATAATACTGGGTAACACTCAGATCTTTTTGCTTCAGGTCGGAGACTTTGCTTTCAATACCAAATAACTCAGAAATATTATCGGCACTGGAATATGTCTCTTTGATAGCACTCCAGATTTCACGAGCAGTGGGATAGAGTGAAATATTTTCACCAATTGCAGGAGACATTGTGTTGATCAACTAGGACATAACCAAACTGTTTTCTTGAAGCCATTTTTCATAACCAGGGTCAGTTTCACCAGGTTTTTCAGTGCCGCCTGTGATGTAGCCAAGTTTGCCTCTGCTGGTGATGTACATCTTCACTGATTGGGACCATTGAAGGTAATTATGGCCCAGCAGTTTGTGTGCTGTTACAGAGGTAGAAGAATCAGCAAGGACATCACTGCTAGGATGACTGCCGCTTCCGAAATTAATTTCCGAGGAAGAGGATGGAGCCATCGGAGAGAAATAGGAATGGTAATTCTAGATTGATACCATGTGGGTTTTAGAGAAACTAAACTCTTGAATTTTTATTTTCTTCTCACTTCATTTACAAAGTAAAATCTGCTCTTAGTTATAGGAATATGCAACAGAAAAATCTAACAAACTAATTCAAATTTAAAATTTAAAAACTAAACCTAACAGCCTAATTCTTAGGGATTTTTAACTGATAGAATCAATAACCAACAACTTGACCCCATTATCAAACTTGAAAGAGTGATTTAGTTTATCCTCTAAAAGATGCAGATTTGCTTTTCCTTTTGTCAGTCAATATGTATGATTTCCTTATGGTCCCATGTAGCTGTTGAATGTTCAAACATTGAGCAGTGGAGAGTTTGACAGTGGTCTTTACTAGTTAAGATCAGTTGATTATAATAATTTGAAAATTAAAGAGCATGCATAGGTGCACCAATCATGTGCATAGTCAAATGCTCCTTGTTATTAGGGTATGAAGTGCTTTTGTTGTTTGATGTTAACGCAAAATGCCTAGGCCAGTGTTGTGTGGATGAGAATAGGACTGAGTCACAGGGTGGTGAACTGGAAAACCTTCCTATAAGAAGGTGTAGTTACCCTTGTTGGTTTTGCCTCCCTTCTTGGAGGAACCTATGGTGGAAAAAAGGCTCTTTAGAGGGAACCTTCAGACCTCAAAAGAACATTAGAAATAAACTTTTCGGCTTATTCCATTTTGTTTTGAGTCCTAAGAGGGTGCCATCTGATTCTGTGCGCTGGTCTCCTCCTCCTGGTTTTGTCAAAGTAAATGTGAATGGTGCTATGGAGAAGAAGTGGCAAAGAGGTGGCATTGGTGGTTTGCTTAGGGATGAGGATGGTGTGGTGTTGGGAACTTTTTCGGAGAGTGTTGGTCCAATTTTAGCAGAATTGTTGGCAATTAAAAGGGGTTTGGTGCACTTCTTGGAGTCAGGGAGGGCGTCAAGGGGGAGGCTTATATTAGAATCCAACTGTTCAGTGGCTTTGGAGTGGATTAAAAACCCTGATTCCTGCACTCCGTTGTTTGTGTCAGTGGTAAAAGATATAGCTACTATTGTGGTGGATAAGTCTGTTATTGTTAGGCATATTAAGAGATCCGCAAACTGGGAAGCGAATGAGTTTGCTAAGTTCAGGATAGGTTAATTTTGTGTTTTATGGTTTTTGTAATGGGTTTAGGTTTCAGTTTTCAGGTGTTTTCTGGTTGTAATTGGTTGTTTTTGTATTATTGGTGTACTTGGCATTTTAGCAATAAAATTTTGAGGTACTCTTTTCCTCCTTCCAATGTCCGTCGAGCTATTTTGTAGCTCGACGGTTATGAAGGAGGTTTTAATGAGGCCTCCCATTTTTATATAAAAAATCATTTAAAAAGGAAAACATTAATAAAATTATCTTCTATTTTAGACTTGACCAACTAATGCATCCTTAACAATGAGCAGTGGCACATACACTAATAATGCTGCAGCAGATTGCATATAATCTCTGCTTCACTGCCTTCCTATAGTGTACTATTTAAAGTCTGTGGTTTTAATCAATGAAAAGGTGTGGACTAAGCATTATACATCATTAGCGCCTCAGACCCTTTCAAGGCATGTCCATTTAATCAGGAACAAGCCTAGTGCACCTAGGTATGCTTTTTCATAAGGCGATAGGCATAAAAGAAGCCCGTCTGATTGAATTTCTCTTTAATTTCTTTTATTTTCACTCTTCTCATTTGAATTAACTTATTAATAAAGGGATGTTATCAAACTCTGTACTTCCTAATATTTGTAGATAAACCCCACTCTAGAATTTATTATATATCATAAGATTTATATAATACAAAATCTTACACATGCATATTGTGCTGTACTTCACCCGGGCTGGTGCTTTTATTTTGTGTGTTGTGGCTGAGGCAATATTGTGCCCTTGACAACATTGGGACTAAGGTTCATAATGGACCATAATTTTTTTTAATTATTTGAGTATTATTTTATGGTGCTTTATTTTGTTTTCAATCTTTTGGGAATGGACAATTCATTGTCTGAGTTTTTTTCAACTTACAACTTACAAGAACGATTGAGATATTAAAGAAATCCAAGGCTTAGTTGTGATTTTGATAAATTTATGAATTATAAAGTAATAGAAATTAATTATGTTTAGGGCTACTTATACTTTGGTTTTATACATTATTCTGTGCAGTTTTGAGCAGTTTTGTATTAACTTCACCAATGAAAAGCTGCAACAGCATTTCAACCAGGTATGAGGTTAGTCTCATGTGACTTGAGTTTTAGTTCATTCTTCCATTGTATGTACTGAGTATGGTTATACAATCAGCACGTGTTCAAGATGGAGCAAGCTTTATACAAAGAAGAAGAAATAGATTGGAGCTATATAGAATTTGTTGATAATCAAGATGTTTTGGATCTTATCGAAAAGGTTACATACTGTCCTTTTAACTGTTCATAGCACTTTGAATTTGTCAAATGTATCTACTTTTTCTTTTCCTCTTCCAGTTATTTTTTTATAAGAATTTCAGGCCTCATTAAAAACCCCCTTCTTGATTAATGGAGCTTGTAGAGAAGCTCCTTAATCAGCGGAAGGAGGAAAAGAGTGCCTTAGGATTTTATTGAACAATAAAATTACATAAGATACAACCAACAATACAACTGACAAAACCACCCCAACAGAACCAAATAAGTTGGAAACACCCTAACTAAAAACACAAAATCAGCGAAAACAACACTAGTAATCCCCTTACAAAACACATAAAATCCAGACACCACCCTAAACAGCCATCAACAACTTTACTAACTCAGCCTATGCGTTCTTTAGCTAAGGCATCAGCCTCTAAATTGGTTGTCCTACTAACTCATCTAACAACACCTTCCAAGGCATTAAGCCTATGAACAATATCTTTAATCAAGAAGGCATATACAACAGGACATAATTCATCCCCCTTAATCCAATCCACAACCACCTTACTATCACTCTCTATAATCAGACGATCCTTGATCCTCTGTCGATAGTTTGCAAAGAAAGACAACCCCATAAGAATAACCTTTAACTCCATCAACGTAGGAGGTCCCAGACCAGCAATTTCCTTGAAATAGCCTATAGTAGAACCTGAGGAATCTTTTAGAACTCCTCCTAACCCGCTTTTCTTCCAATCTCTTGTAGTGGCAGCATCAACGTTTAATTTAACAAAACCCAAAGGAGGAGACCAAAGTAAAGTAGGAGAAATCTGAGTAGAGCGAAGAGAAAACAAGTCCCCAAGAGAAGGATCGGAAATGAGTGAGTCCTTAGGAATAGACACATCTTTATACTTTGCTAAGAACCAAGAAGCAAGCCTAAACCTTGCTAAAAAGAAGAATTATGCCTTATCAAACTTCCCCCCCCTTCAAACACCACGAAATTCCTCATTTTCCAAGTGGTCCACAAAATGACCCCTGGAATAAAGGCCAAATCAAAGAGTTAGACTTTAAACCATCCCAAGCTAGAAAGAAGCTTTTAGCGTCCGCTGGTAAAACAGAACAAATCCTCCAAAAACTTAAAAACTTATTCCAAAGGGACCACACCATCGAACAAGAGAAAAACAAATGAGAGGGAGGCTCATCCGACATCTTGCATAGGGGACACAACACATCTTCAATTCCTTGAACACTTCTTTTGACAAGTTCAGTCCTAACAACCAGCTTCCCATGAGCGATCTGCCAAAGAAAACACTCTACTCTTGGAGGTAGTAGACCTCTCCAAATGATCTTCCAGAAAAAGACCTCCTCCGATCCCAAAGTCTCCAATGAACCCAGATTTACAGCTGATCTAACAGTAAAACCCCCATCCCCAGTACCTTTCCAGATCACACGATCAAGAAATTCCAAAGAGAGTGAAAATTTTGTAATGATAGCCCCATTGTTCAAGTTCCCAGTCATGAAGATTTCTTCTGAACTTGACATCCCAAGTCCAAACGGAAGAGATATACTCCCGAAATTCAGATAATTTCCCAAACTGATTTAAGGAAATAGAAAATAGTCTCGGAAAAATGACATCAAGTGGATGATCCATAGCCCAAATATCTTGCCAAAACCGAATATTTTTACCATCACCAATTAAAACTGAAGAATCGAGTCTATATTTGGCACAAACAACTTCCCTCCAAACTGAGTCCCTATCATTTACAAACCTCCAAGTCCATTTCCCCAAAAGCGCTCTATTCATCAAGTTAAGATTAAGAACTCCTAAGCCCCCTTCACTCTTCGGCTTACTAACATTGGACCAGCTAACCCAGTGAATTTTTCTAATGCCATTTCCCCCTCCCCATTGGCCCATTGGAAATTAGACATAATAGAGTTAAGGGTTTTAAGAACAGAAGCTGTAATTTTAAATATGGAAAGATAATATGTAGGAAGCGAACATAGAACCGCCTTAATTAACACTAGCCTCCCTGCTAAAGAGAGAGATGTTGCTTTCCACCCGGATAACTTGTTAAAAAAATTATTAATGACAGGTTCCCAAATAGCTGCAGAATTTCTAGTAGCACCTAGGGGAAGTCCTAGATATTCAGAAGGAAATCTCCCAATTGAACATCCAATAGAAGTAGCCCATTCCAGCAGTTCCTCCTCTTCCAGTTATTGCTTAGCGTTGGGTAGTCTCCCTACTAAAAGTTTTCCCTAAATATAAACTATTCAACACCTCTCAAATGAAACATACGTGGCATCAAATAAGTGTAAGGATCTTGATAGAACATGACACTAGTTAGTGGTATAACCTGAAGTGTGGAGAGAAACACTTCATGCTGGGGCTAGTATTGCTTATTTTATCCAGAAGATTAAAATTACCATATGCATTTTGAGATTTCGAAGTTCAAATTGCGTACCATTCCATTCAGATTAATATAAATGGTACACTTGTCTTAAACTTCATGATTTTCACAGTAATGTATCTGCCTTCTACATGCAAATTGTACAATTTTAAAAATGCGTATAATCAAAATATTATTAGCATGAATGGTAAAATATATTTGATGACGCACGGAATATTAAAAAAAAGTAATTGCATGATATAGTTTGTATGTGATCTGAAGACATCAATTCATTGTGACCGTTTAGAACCTTAATGAAAAAAACTACTATATTTTAAACATCAATGGCAGAGGAACAATATCCAATAGGGAGCAGAAAAGGATGTGTTCTTCTGGTGAGTCGCTCTACAACCCTGCCTGAGGCTAATGGAGAGAGAAGTTTTGGTTAAAGAACAGATAATTTTCTGTAATCTACCTAGAACAACTACCAGAATGGAGAATGATGGATGTGAAGAGCTCTGAGATGCCCTTTTTCTTTTCCAATGAGATATGTACAAGTAATAGTTTGGTATATATAACTAAAAAAGCTGAAAGATTTTGCTATTGGCTCCGGTCTGTTGGAGGATAGGAAGCACTAGTGTTGTCACTATTAGCAGTGCAGGGAGTGTTGATGGTTTATGAGATTCTATTAGTCAATCTTCTGATGCTGACATGAAAATCTATTATTAGCTGTCAAGTGTTCAGGCTGCACTTCAAATGCATTGAATATTTTTTTCTTTACCAGTCCTTATCTAAAAAAGTAGTATGAATGCTGGCCACCATAAATTTAATTATGTACAGTAGTACCTTCACCTCTTGGCTCTTCCTCAGTCTTCACAAAGTAAATCAGCTGCTACCAAATTTGATTAGTTGAAGACGTATATCATGTACTTAGGTTCTAATCTTAAAGCTTAGAGGTATTTGAAGCCCTGTCAATTATTTTTTCCCAAAAATATCTTAACAATGAGCATTGATTTGGTTCTTCGTGTTCAAGAAACATTTTTGGCCTGTACCAATCTTCTTTAGGTTCGGGAGACTTATTTACTTTGGTCATTTTTATATCAAAAACATTTTTTTTTACATTTGATTTCAGTAAGTTTCCTAAGTTAAAAGGATTGGTGCCAATCAGACCACGGAATGAGATGGTACAATGCTGACAACGATATTAGGATGGAGTTTCTTTTGAGGTTATTGTTTGCTTGTTGGAACAGTGCTCTGAAACTTGGGTGTGATATGGTTTATGGGGTGGAGCTACTTATCCTTTTGGATCGCAATGTGGAGCAGATAATATTTTGTCTGCTTCATTCTTTTAGCCCATGCCTTCGTGACTTACCTTACCTCGTAAATTTACCATTGCATATCCGCATTAGCCGTTGCCATCTTGCCATGTAAATCCTCATGTATCCTGGTTTTGTATTTTTTTTTTATAGGAATGAAAGGCCTCGTTAAAAACCCCCTTCTTAAATTAAAGACCTTGAAGAAAGGTCGTTAATCATAGGAAGGAGGAAAAGCTGGTTTTGTATTATTATACGGGTTATATATTTTTTTTGTTCCATATTTTCTAGTATGCACACATGAGCTGTTGAATAGCAAATTTCTTTTAACAAATTTCTAATGCTTCTGCAGAAACCAGGGGGGATCATTGCTCTTCTTGATGAAACATGGTATGAAAACATTTTCTTTACAATATCTGTGGCATTGAAGCTACGCTACATGGGAAATAAGATATTCCTAATGCAATATCCTGTTCTTATGTAGCATTTATGAAGTCTAATGTTTCTTCTTCTTGATCTCTTTACATGGTTTTCATTTTTCATTATAAAGTATGTTTCCAAAATCAACCCATGAAACCTTTGCCCAAAAGCTCTATCAGACATTCATGACTCACAAACGCTTTGTAAAGCCAAAATTGGCTCGCACAGAATTTACCATTGTCCATTATGCAGGAGAGGTTAGTTATGATTCCTCTCGTCTCCGTGTTTAGAAACCTGCAATGTTAGTCATTGCATATAAGTTTTATTATTCCATGCATATTTTCAGGTCCAGTATCAGTGTGATCTGTTTTTAGACAAAAACAAAGACTACGTTGTTCCTGAACATCAGGAAATGTTAAGTGCTTCCAAATGTTCCTTTGTAACAACCCTTTTTCCTCCACTTAATGACGAAACACCTAAACTTGGCAAGTTCTCATCTATTGGTTCTCGTTTCAAGGTATCTTAATTTTGCTAGCATTTCCATAAACTAGTCAGGAGTTTTGTATACACACACACGTATCATTCTAAAATATGTTGATAAATGAATGGTTTGTTAAGCCATGCTTGTGTTCTCAATGCTTCAATATCTCTGTGGAAGGTGAGATCTCATGTTTTGGCCACATTGCTGCAGTTACAATTGCAACAATTGATGGATACACTAAATTATACCGAACCCCACTACATCAGATGTATAAAACCGAACTCTGATTTAAGACCTGAAGTATTTGAGAATGTCAATGTCTTGCAGCAACTACGTTCTGGTGTAAGTATACTTGGTATTGCATCACAATATCACAACTATTTATTGGTCGACTCCTGTGCATTCTTAACTAATTGTTAGTTGTATAGGGTGTTCTAGAGGCAATCAGAGTCAAGTGTGAGGGATACCCTACTAATAGAACCTTTAGTGAATTTATAACTCGATTTGCTATTCTTGCGCCAGAAGTTTTGGATGGGATGTAAGTATTCCTCTACTTCCCCAACTGATTAGAACATTAAAAAAACATATGCTTATTTTTTCTTGGTATCTATAAGTTTTTTCTCGATTAAGGTCTGATTTTGGGGTTATTGCATATCCTCAGTGTTGAAGAAAATGTTGCATGCAAATCGATTATGGAAAAGATGGGCCTTTCAGGGTATCAGGTAATTCAAGAACTTTCCTTTTTCCTTTTTTTTTTTTTTTGACAAACAGAATTTGAGATTAAATTAATACCAGTGAAGAAGGAAATGGTTACATATCAAGCCTGCTGAACGACAACATGAGAAATTGATGGCTGGATGACTTTGAGATCATGCTCATTGTTTTTCTTACAGTATTGATCTAATCTACAGAAAGTCTGTTAAATGTATTTGAAGGCAATTTCAGTCTTTGCTTCTGGAAAATATTTGTGGTTGGTTATAAATGCTTGTATATTGAGGTTATGTAGCAAGAGGATGTATTCTATGAGCCTTGAGCTGATTTGCAGATAGGGAAAACGAAGATCTTTCTAAGAGCTGGTCATATGGCAGAGTTGGATGCACACAAGGGAAAAGTACTTGGAGAGTCCGCAAAGGCTATTCAGAAGAAAGTTAGATCTTGTTTATCTCGTAAACACTATGTCGATATCCGTACGGCTTCTATTTGCATACAAACTGCTGTGAGGGGTGAGTCTATGTTCTAAAATTGTCATATAGGGAATCAACATTGTTCAGCTGTAACATTATAGTAATTTGGTTCCAATCAATCCTAGTTAACCCAAGTTTGTTTTATTTTTTTTGTCATTGGCCTGTAGGGATGATCACCTGCAAGTAATAATTGTTTGCATTGGTCTTAATTGTTGTATCTTCTAGGAATTCTAGCTTGTGAATCAGTGATATTCAAGAGAAAAATAGCATCTGCTGTCAAAATTCAGAAGTCTTTCCGCAGAAAAGATGCTAGTAAAAAGTACATGGATATCAAATCTTCAGCAATTATATTGCAGACAGGTGTGCGTGCCATGGTTGCCCGTAATGAGTTTGAAACTAGGAAACAAAACCATGCTGCAGCTACTATACAGGTTATTGTCCAGATTTTGTGTAATGCCTAAAGAATTATCTTATTATGTTACAAGTTTCTTACTTTGAACAAATCCCTGCGTCATATTGGTAATGTCATAATGCTGTTTCATCCTATAAGAAGATTAAAAAGGTATCAGTCCTTTCACAAAGCATATTACGGTAGGTATTGTTTTACTTTCCTAAGTTTGTAATTAGCAACAGCAATTATATTGCAGACATGTGTGCGTGCCATGGTTGCCCGTAATGAGTTTGAAACTAGGAAACAAAACCATGCTGCAGCTACTATACAGGTTATTGTCCAGCTTTTGTGTAATGCCTAGAGAATTATCTTATTATGTTTACAAGTTTCTTACTTTGAACAAATCCCTGCGTCATATTGGTAATGTCATAATGCTGTTTCATCCTATAAGAAGATTAAAAAGGTATCAGTCCTTTCACAAAGCATATTACGGTAGGTATTGTTTTACTTTCCTAAGTTTGTAATTAGCAACAGCAATTATATTGCAGACAGGTGTGCGTGCCATGGTTGCCCGTAATGAGTTTGAAACTAGGAAACAAAACCATGCTGCAGCTACTATACAGGTTATTGTCCAGCTTTTGTTTAATGTCTAAAGAATTATCTTATTATGTTTACAAGTTTCTTACTTTGAACAAATCCTTGCGTCATATTGGTGATATCATAATGCTGTTTCATCCTATAAGAAGATTAAAAAGGTATCAGTCCTTTCACAAAGCATATTACGGTAGGTATTGTTTTACTTTCCTAAGTTTGTAATTAGCATTTAATATTTGCATTATTATTGTTTCCGGTGCTCTTGTAAAATTCTTAAATAAGAGTTACGAGCATTTATGTGTTGATGACAGTTATGTATGGCTTATAAAATATTCAGAAGTTAGTGGTTGATGAGACTGCCATTCATGTTTTTTAAACTTTGACAATAATGATATGTTACCTTTATTTCCATTAGGAAAAAATGTATTTCAGTATTAAAGTATGAAACTAAGATTTTAGGGGAAAAAAATAAACATTATGGTTTTAACTGTATCTTTAATGTGTATATTGATCTTTATAACAATCTCATCAGATAAGAGGAAACTGAAAATTTCATCTTGTTAGGCTTCCTGAAATTTAGCTTTTGAAAGTGAAAAAGATTTTCTAGATAGCTAATTAGTCAAGAGCAAGACAAGGAAAAATAGAGTATTCTTTCGGTTTAAGTTGGGTGTCCTTTGAATACTTGTCATTGCACCATGAAAGCAGGTTCTACAATGCTAAACTGCAATTAGTATAGCACTAACAATAGAGGACTCAAATTACACCACATCAGAGTTACTTAATTCGCCCAACCCTCCAATTTTCAAATACATAATAGCTTATGTTTCCATTCCCATTTTGTGAACCTTATTGATTGTCTTCTGGGTAGCTCCCATTTCTTATACCCTTAACATCAAACAAAGCTTTTGACTTTTCAAGAAATTCATTTACTGCTTTTTGAGTTTCATGTTCCATTCTCTTTTCTTGTTGTCATATATAAATGATGTATACATGATTCCTAACAACTATCTTCTTTATTAGCTTCAGCCAAAATATTCTACCCTCCCTCTTCTGGGTTAGCTATATGCTAAGTGGTCCAATGCCATTCAAAGCACCTTCCTTCGGAAAAGGAGTTCAGAATCGAACTCCTTCCCTTCCTAACTTAAAAGGACCTGCTCCTAGATACGTGTTGGGTCAAAGTCTTTCACTGTTTTCATATGTTCAATTTATTTTTTTTTTGTAGTAAAAAGCTTTAAGTTTAAATAGTTGAGTAGCTCCAAGTCTGAATTCTCACCAAATAGTTGGTATAATAGGTTTAAAAATTGGAAAACCTATCTTCTTCTCATCAAAAGCTAAGGTTTGGGTTCTTTAGCTTATTATCTTCATTATCACTTCAAAATAAATGTTGGATGTACATTAGAAGTTATCAAGATAAACGTATAGGAGGGAAGCGTGTTTTCTTCTTGTTTCCATATGGTTGTGAGTGCACTGCATATTAATGCACTATCAATGCGTAGGCTTGTCCCTATTTGGTACTTAAACATCCAATATCTCATTTTTTTCTCCCGCATCAATGTGCATTACAAATTTTCAGGCTTCTAAAGAAGAAGAGAAGGACGATGGAGAAGAAGAGAAGGATGATGGAAAGGAAGAAGAGAAGGACAGTGGAAAAGCAGAAGAAGTAAAAACAGAAGAAGAGGAAAAGAAAGAAGAAGAAGAAGAAGTAAAAGCAGAGGAAGAGGAAAAGAAAGAAGAAAAAGCAGAAGAGGAGGAAAAAGCAGAAGAAGAGGAAAAGAAAGAAGAAAAAGCAGAAGAGGAAGAAAAGAAAGAAGAAGTAAAAGCAGAAGAAGAGGAAAAGAAAGAAGTAAAAGCAGAAGAAGAGGTAAAGAAAGAAGAAGAAGAAGTAAAAGCAGAGGAAGAGGAAAAGAAAGAAGAAAAAGCAGAAGATGAGGAAAAAGCAGAAGAAGAGGAAAAGAAAGAAGAAAAAGCAGAAGAGGAGGAAAAGAAAGAAGAAGTAAAAGCAGAAGAAGAGGAAAAGAAAGAAGTAAAAGCAGAAGAAGAGGAAAAGAAAGAAGTAAAAGCAGAAGAAGAGGAAAAGAAAGAAGTAAAAGCAGAAGAAGAGGAAAAGAAAGAAGTAAAAGCAAAAGAAGAGGAAAAGAAAGAAGAAAGAGAAGAAGAAGAAGTAAAGAAAGAAGAAAAAACAGAAGAAGAGGAAAAGAAAGAAGAAAAAGAAGCCCTACAAAATAAAGAGGCAGAAAAGCAATCAACTGTAAGATACATAAATATCTCTGAAGATACCTGCTAGCCTTCATGTTCCGTGTGCTAAATCTGAATGTTAATGTTCTTGATACTTTGACCCTAAAAATGTTGGAGTTCATTTAGTTATAGGTTAATATATTGGAGCTCAGGATATTATTTTTCAAAACTGTTTCCAGTTATCTATATTTGCATAAATGCATGGTAAGTCAGATCTACATTGGATTTTCTGTGAATTTCCTGAGAAGTTTTAGACTTCAAATACTGTTATCTTTGAAAATTCATAAAACTATTTTTTGGCCAAATTTATTTTTACAATACTTAAAATGCAAATAAGAAATTTTTTAACTCTATTCCATTAAATGCTAGTATTAGGATTAAGACAGGAGATTGAAACTAGGAAACTTTATCACTAACCAAAGTTAAATTACAAGTAAGAAGACCTGCTTTTTACTGCCCATTAGATTTAGTTAAATTTGGTGGGTTTTTCTATTAGTGCAATTAGGAAAATACAAATAGATCTAAAAATAGAAATAAGAAACCCAAGTTCAATAGTTTATAACTCTTGAAGGAAGTTTTAGAAGTGTAATAAACATTGATATCCTTTTCTGTCCAAATATGAGGTTTTGTCAAGGTAAGAGCTTGTGTATCTGTTTGATTGTAGACACTATAGATTATACATCTTAAAGATCACATATACAAACATAAATGTATATGCACCCATCTATTAATACATATATAACAGTTATCTGCATTTGTAGTCCAAGCATGCAGATCTGCACTCTTGTGTCTTTGGATCAAGACACGTTTAAGCAGGGAACTCTAAAGCTTAAACAATGAATTTCAGCACTGTTTGAAAATTTTGAAGTTATGGATGGTGAGAAGAAAATACTTGGCAGTTGTTATAACTGCAGTGATGATGCTGGCTATTATGAGAGTTGAAATTTTCTCATGATCAAATTTGTGTCATTTGGTACTTATGATATCTAACTGAACTATGATTTGTATAGGTTGGCGTACATGAGAAAGCAGAGCTACTAGATTCTTCCCCTTATGAACATAACGAAGGAGAAAAAGTCAATGTGTCTCCTGACGAAGAGCAAGAGGTCACTGAGAAAGAAATTGAATCATGTCCTATGGTTGTAGAAAGATCAATTCCCATACAAGATGCTTTGAAGGCTGAGAACCTTCCATCAGAAGTTGAAAAGCTAAAGGTACTGCTAAGATAACTCTCATATGGCTGCTGAATTTTTTTTTTGACGTGTCAAGTCGTATGATCTCATAATTTTGATGTGATATTGAAGTTGTCACTTTGACATGGTTAGCAAACCATGTATAATCTGGATAGAGTTTTTTCATTGTATAATTTCTTGCTTGGCTTGACATGCCTCGCCATATCTTATTTGAGAAAACTACCGTCCAAGCTTTGACGTTTGAACCTTTTAATGTTGCTTTCACTAAGAATGACCTTTTATCTTACAGGCCCTCTTGATGGAAGAAAAGAGAAGAGCTGATGAATATGAAAAGAAACATGCTGAAGAACAAGAATTAAGTGAGCTAAGACGCAAGAAATTAGAAGAAACTGAAAAGAAAGTATGTCAGCTTCAAGACTCTTTGAACAGGTATTACTTTTTATCACTTTTTAAAATGTATCATACAATTTACTGGTATCAGCTTTGGATAACTTTAATTTTATATTTAGAAGTTGTTCTGGGCTTCTGTTTATTGGGTTAATTATCTCCCTCTAAGAAAATACAGTGATATATTGTACTTATTGAAGTTTTTTACTTGATCCCTTGTCTAAAAGTGGACAATTGAACAGTTAAAAGGCTTTCAAATTTTTATGAATGTAAATGTTGTTTTGTGGTTTAACATCAGTGATAAAATCACATACTCTGTTATGCTAGGGCATTGACATGTATGCAACTTTATTTTCATGAAATTTCACTGCTGGGGAATTGGGGATATCTCATGAAAAATACTATGGTATAAAGCTCCTGATTCCTTGTTACTTACACTAGATCCGGTTTTTCCATGTCTCAGGCTCGTATTTAGTATGTCTGAGCAATTTTCACAACTTAAAACGTTTTTACAAACTTCATCAAATTCAATATCAGCCTCAGCCTCAGCCTCAACCTCTCCACCCATTGCGCGAGTTGATTACTTTGATAATTTGGACAACTCTGATGATGCTTCATCAAATGGCTCAGATTTTGCATTTCGAGCTTCAGGTCTTGCTTCAGCCAACAACTCTTACCCCCCTGCTAAAGATCCCCATGTGCTTGTTAAGGACGCTACAACCGCAGACATTACAGGTTAGCCTTTATTTCTTTATGCAAATGCAGTTTGGGCTTGGACATAGCTTCAAATAAACAAATAGTAGATAAGACGAATTGAAAATCCTTTGTTTTAGATCAGAACCTCTCTTTCAGGGAAAAAGATCTTGCCTGGTTTAGCAAATTCATTGCGTTATATCCAATTTTTTTTGTAATAAAATTTGTTATGATTCAAAGTCAGTTCATAGTTAATATTTTATGATGGGAGGATGTATATGTAGTACACCGTGTCGTTTTTCTTAGTTTTGGAGACCCATATTGTGCAGGTACTGCAGACAGTGATAAGGATGGGGCATTTGATGACTACTTCTGACGGATCTTTCTGTTTCTGTTTCTGTTTCTTCATACCCATAGATGAACGGAATGACGGATATAAATACAATTCCAATAACATCACAGTGTAGGCATGTAAGACTCCAAACCAAACTATTACATACACCACATACAGGAATTGTATATAGGAGGACTAATTTTATTTTAATTTAATATATTTATTTTCCACCGATCAGATCAGAGGGTGACACCTTCTAGTTAAAAGAAAATAAACTAAACGTGAGTCACTTGGGTAACTAAGCATATACCCGATCACTAAGCTGCTTGATTTAAAATAGATAAAATGATATATAATTTGTATCTTAGTGTATAAATACTTAACTAAAATTAATAATATTATATATATATATATTAGCTTTAAACAATATTTTTTCATATTAACTTATTAAATATATTTTATTAGTAACTTAATTTAAAAATAAAATATTTTAATTTAAAAATATATATTTTATTCTTATTTAAATTTTTAAAATATATTTTATTATTATTTTAAGTTTTCAAAGTATATATTTTATCTTAATTTACTAAATATATTATTTTAAATTATTAAATATATTTTATTCTTATCTTAAATTTATTTTAATTTATTTAAAGTAAGATTAAATTGAGAGAAAATATAAATAATAGGAATCAAATGCGTGGTTATACTAAAATACCACGTCACATAGTTAACGAAAATTAACCCGTGGTGATCATATTTTAATTAAATATAAATGAAAGTGATCATATCTTAATTAAATAGTGATCATATATTATGCTTTTTGAAATTAGTGAGAAAAATGAACAAAACACAAATATAAATGATCAATCATATAGTTAACCCTTAAATTAATTACCGAGTGTGATTTGGTTAATTAAATCTTATCTGTTGAGGTAGTTAAAATGATTGTTCACTTGAGAATGGTGAACTTCACTTTTTGATATTTGAGCCACAATAGTAGAATAAATCCATTTAATAATCTGCGGATTCATTAACCACCCTATTCTTTTATTGACCGTGAAAACATTCATTTTTGTAATAAAATGACTTAATTTATCATGCAACCAACCATTATCTTAAATTTAATTATTTATCACATAATTTTTTCTCGTTAATATCTTTTGTTGATAAAAACACTGAATTTAATTGATTGTAATATAAGAACCAGATGCCAGTCTCGTTTATCAATTCATATTCCTTCCTTGACCACCTTCTTTTATTTTCCTTTTTTTTCTTTGGCTTAATGGTTAATACTAAAATAAGTGTCTACATTATACCATAATAAGTTCCTAAACTAATTTTTGTCTCATCAAGGTGCCTAACATTACAATCATTAACCGTTTAGGTGTTCGGGCCGTCAACAACGTTAATTTCTACTTTTAAGTGACATGTGTCACAATCTGGTGATTTTGAAATTTATTTTATAAAATAAAATATGAAAAAAATGATATTTATAAAAAAATACTAACTTTCCTTATATTATAAAATAGCCCCAAAATCCTAAATTCAAACCTTAATTTGTCGCCGCCGTCTTTCTGGCCACGACCACTGTCATCGACGTAGCCCATGCCATCCTCCTACTCATATGCCGTTATATTTTCCTTCGATTGGTCGTCGGAATCACGTGAAATCGTGATTTTAATCCTAGGGTTCGAATGGTTTAAAATGTTGATTCGTTGTCAATCGATCACAATTTCATGGGGGGTTTTGGTCACGGGGGAGGGGAGGTCGGGTGGAGGCTCGTCGATGGTAAAAGGAAGAGGTCGGCGTTGGTTTAGGGTTGAAATTAAGATTTTCAACATTTTGGGTTTATTTCAAAATTTGTATTTTCTGTTTTAAAAAAAATATAATTTTAATTTTTTTTATTTTAAATATTTTTTTTTAAAATTACCATGTTGCGACACGTGTCACTTAACGGAAAAATCAACACCATTACCGATCCATGCACCTAAATGAGTAACTTTTGTAACATTAGACACTTGGATGAGACGAAAATTAGTTTAAGCACGTATTTGGATTTTATGATATAGTTTGGACACTTATTTTGGTATTAAGCCTTTTTTATCATCTCTTCAAAATTTATCATATTTTAGTTTTATTTTTACAAGTTTTTTTAGTCGAAGCTAGATTTTCGCTCATTTATCTGATTGATGGTTATTTGACTATATTGTTAATCTATATCTATCTTAGACTCTCGAGCTAGTTCTCTCATCTTGAATAAGTGCTTGCAATTACCTTAGATAGTTCATACTTGAGTTGTGATAAAGCTAATCGTTCACGTACTACCATTTTCGATTATTATTTTAGTATTGGTTCTGATCATCATTCATCACGGACAATGATGTTTGTTTATATCTTTTATTTTCAAGAGTTATTTGATTAAATTTTTAACTTTTTTTATATAATTCTATTTTATGAAATGAACAAATTATATTAAAAGATTATAAATCATGTCAACTGAATTTTAGTTCGCTGGCACTTGTTGGAGGTAGAAATTACGAGTTAAAATTTACTTAATTTGAAGATTCGTAAAACTCTTTATCTTATCAACTGTGATCATATTTGTCAAGTAAATTTTTGCAAATATATATAATATAAAATGTTCCATTTCTCTTATACCATAAATGCAAACATAATTTAGTTTAGAATTAAAAATATGTAAAATATGATGAAAAACCCTTCAACACACGTTCTGGTAGCAAGCAAAATTGGTGGATCAACGCCAAAGTGAGGTTCCTAGGGATCATAATCCTGCATATTTTAATTAAAATTATTGGATTAAATTTTTTTTCCTTCTGAAAATAGCATTTTAGTTAACCTTAGTTCAATGGTACCTATAAATATATCCAATAACCTGATCCAAAGCTGCAAAATGATCAGTTCATATTTTAATAGCAATGTTTATGAAGGGAAAGTGTGTTGAAAAGGATGCAGTTAACTGTAATTTATTAGGTGCATAGACCAGGGAAGAATTTGCACAACCATAACCAGTTTTGTCAGACAGAACAAATACACTATTATTCTACCAAAATCCTGAAAGGTTACACCGGAGAAGGATTTTAGGGTTTCTGAATATTATATCAACGCTGATTTTTCTAGGGTTCTAACAAAAGTGCATATACGATATGTTTCAAAATATGCAGTAGAAGTCCTGATTTAAATAGTTGTTTGTTATCGAAATAGCGGTTGACTGAAATCGTTATTTTACGATCAAGATATCCGCAATAGTATCTGCTATTGTCTCAATCTAGATAAATACAATGCAGCCGAAACAGCAACCGCATTTTTTATCCTTGGTCATGAACGATGAGCATAGCCAAAGGCCATGGTTTGAAGGTGATCGACATCCTCGAAACTCCATTGTTCAAAGGAAGAAGACATGGAACAAGGGGCCTCCCCGCCAAAAGCCGTAAACGAGGATTGATCCGATGAACTTTCATACTTCCCTAAAGAAGTCGGATCCAAAAACCTATTCTTACAGTTAAAGTTGGGTGGTGCCATGGTTGAATCATGTGGGTAAAACCAGCTTTGAACATCATCGTGGAGCCGCTGACAAGGAAGCTTTCCACAGTAAATGTCATTAGGGTTTGCAGTAACAGTGCCATTAAAACTACTGCTCTGAGTTGCTTGTTCCTTGAGAGACGCAAGCTGTGCCTGTAAATTGACAACCTGCAAGGAGTGAAAGATTAGATCTCTCTATCTCAAACTCAAATTAGGGTTTCAAAGAGGCCGCAGGTAAAAAGAAACCTGTTGTTGGAGGGCAAAGATATGAGAAACGCAGCCATAAATGGGGTCGTGAAGCCTAGCTTGTGTTAGGAAAATAAACCGAGTACAAATAATTTCCCTATAACCATATTAGTGAGAATGCGAAATAAAAGCGGAAAAATAATACCCGAAAATTGATAACGGAGTTCAGCCAATTGTGCTTACGTCTCCGGGCTGCTGCAGATCTTTTACTAAGAGAGAAAATTTACAGGTGTTTACAAAACACTCACTACTCACAAGAAAGCTCTCTAGTATAGGAAGAAAGAAATGTTTTGGGATGATTTTGAAGCTAAATGGGTAAGGGTATTTATAGTAGAAACTTAGGGACTAATCTTTGAAAATACCCTAAAGTGCAATGACTAAAGTGAATTTACCCATTCCTATTTTCAACAAACATCTACCAAAATTTTACCAAACTTTGAAAAACATTTTTCAAAGAAACATTTACCAAACTTTGAAAAAAACATTTTCCAAAGTTGGTTGCCAAACTTTGAAACTTTTAACAATCTCCCACTTGAAGACTGATTTTAATATGTCTTCACACCTCGATCAATGCAGCAGCATGTCTGGTCTTGTTATTCTAGCATGCCAACTGAAGTTGAACACAACTTCAGTTTATCCGTAGTCACCGTCTTTGTCAACATGTCTGCCGGATTTTGAGCTCCACTAATCTTTTCAAGTTTCAAAATCCCATCTTCCAGAAGAGACCGGATAAAATGATATCTCAATTGTATGTGTTTTGTCCTGGAATGAAAAGACGGATTCTTTGCTAGATGGATAGCACTTTGACTGTCGCAATACAAGATATTGTTTTCTTGTTTCTTGCCTAACTCTTCCAAGAAACTTTGGAGCCAAACCATCTCCTTGCTGGCTTCCGTAACAGCGACATATTCTGCTTCAGTTGTGGAGAGAGCAACTATCTTCTGTAGTTGAGAAACCCAACTCACTGCAGTTCCTCCTAGAGTATAGACATACCCTGTAGTGCTCCTTCTGATGTCGACATTTCCGGCTAAGTCAGCATCTACATAGCCTGTCAGTATCATATCTCCACCTTTGAAACAAAGTGCTTTGTTTGTGGTACCCCGAAGATATCTGAGGACCCATTTGACTGCTTCCCAGTGTACCTTGCCCGGATTATTCATGTACCTGCTAACAGCTCCCACTGCATGAGCAATATCTGGTCTGGTACAAACCATGGCATACATCAGACTTCCAATTGCTGAGGCATACGGCACCTTCACCATGTGTGCACGTTCTTCCTCCGTCTTTGGTGATTGGTCTTTGGAGAGTCTGAAATGAACACCTAAAGGTGTACTTACTGGTTTAGCATCTTGCATGTTGAACCTGGAGAGTACTTTGTTGATGTACTCAGCCTGCGATAACATCAAAGTCCCCGACTTTGTGTCTCTCTTGATCCTCATCCCAAGAATCTGCTTTGCAGCGCCCAGATCCTTCATAGCAAACTGCTTCGACAATTTTTGCTTCAAGTTTATGATCTCTTGCATGTTTGAGCCTGCAACGAGCATGTCATCAACGTACAACAATAAAATAATGAAACTATTGTCGAACCTCTTGATGTAGCAACAATGATCTGCTTGGCATCTGGTAAAACCACTGCTACTCATGAAACTATCGAACTTCTTGTACCACTGTCTAGGAGCTTGTTTTAAACCATACAAGCTCTTCTTCAACCTGCATACCAGGTTTTTCTTGCCTGCCTCTATGAAGCCTTCTGGCTGCCTCATATAGATCTCTTCCTCCAAATCACCATGAAGGAAAGCTGTCTTTACATCTAACTGCTCGAGATGTAAATTCTCCGCAGCTACAATTTTCAACACCAGTCTGATTGTAGACAGTTTTACGACTGGAGAGAAAATTTCATTGTAGTCAATACCTTCTTTTTGCTGAAAACCTTTGACAACCAATCTTGCTTTGTAGCGTTTTCTCCCATCATGTTCTTCTTTGATCCTGTAAATCCACTTGTTATGGAGCGCTTTCTTGCCTGGTGGTAATTCAGCTAATTCCCAAGTCTGATTTGACATAAGCGAGTCCATCTCATCTTTCATGGAAGACTCCCACTTGACTGAATCCTCCACCTGCATTGCTTCATCATAGCACTCTGGTTCACCATTGTCAGTCAGCAACAAATAGTGCAAAGAAGGCGAATACCGTTGGGTTGGTTTAGGAATTCTGGAGGAGCGTCTCAGTTCTGGTGTGTGTGGTTCTTCTTGAACTGCTTCAGGATTAATCTGAACATCATTTTCAGAAATATCCTCGAACTCAGCAAATTCCTTTGTTTCAGCTTCGGTATTACTTGATTCTGCGGTTGACCTATCTTTGTACATCACATTTTCATTGAAAATGACGTCTCTGCTTCTGATGATCTTTCGATTTTCGTAGTCCCAAAACCGGTAACCGAACTCATCACCACCGTAACCAACAAAGACGCATTTGTTGGACTTGGCATCAAGTTTACTTCTTTCAGTAGAGTTTATGTGTACATAAGAAATACAACCAAACACTCTTAAGTGTGAAAGGTTTATTTCTTTCTTGCTCCAAGCTTCCTCTGGTATTCCGCCATCCAAAGGAACTGAGGGCCCACGGTTGATCAAGTAAGCTGCAGTGTTGATAGCTTCAGCCCATAGAAATTTGGGCAATCCGGCATGTATCCTCATACTTCTGGCACGTTCATTCAGAGTTCTGTTCATGCGCTCTGCTACGCCATTCTGCTGCGGTGTTATGGGAACTGTTGTCTCCATCTTGATCCCATTGTTTGCGCAGAAATCTCTGAATCTACTGTCTCTGTATTCTCCTCCATTGTCAGACCTCAACCGCTTGACTTTCAAACCAGTCTCATTTTCCACCATGGCCTTCCATTTTCTGAAGGTATCAAAGACTTCTGATTTCTTCTTCAGAAAATAAACCCACACCTTCCTTGTTGAATCATCGATGAAGGTGACATAATATAGTGAGCCTGCAAGAGATGGAACTGGGGATGGTCCCCATACATCAGTATGAATCAATTCTAACCTTTCTGCCTTGGGTGTCTTGCCAATCTTTGCAAAACTGACTTTCTTTTGTTTGCCAAAGATGCAATCCTCGCATAGTCCGACATCTACATTCTTTAGATCCGGCAGCTTGCCTTTTGACAAAAGTGTCTTCATCCCTTTCTCGCTCATATGGCCAAGCCTTTGGTGCCATAGGTTTGATTTTCCATCAGCATCTGCTACTGCAATGATATTCTCTAAATTTGAGGTTACATAGAGAGTACCAGTCTTCTTACCACGAGCAATGACGAGTGCTCCTTTGGTAATCTTCCATTCACAGCCTGAAAAGGTTGTGCTATATCCTTCTCCATCAAGCTGTCCAACAGAAATCAGATTTCTTTTGAGGCCAGGAATATGTCTCACTCCTGTCAGCTTCCAGGTGGTCTGGTTTGGCAACTTTAGTCGGATGTCTCCTTTTCCGACGATCTTTAAGGTTTCATCATCAGCAAGATGAACCTTCCCAAAATCACCACTGACATAGTTCTCCATGATTTCTTGGTATGGGGTGGAGTGGAAAGATGCCCCTGAATCCAAGATCCATGATTCAATCGGACTGTTGACGCTTAGAATCATGGCATCACCTGTCTCCTCTGTCACGTTGGCAGATTCCTGTGCGCCGGTATTTTTCTTCGGTGCTCGGCAATCTCTTTTGAAGTGACCCTTCTTACCGCAATTATAACAGGTAAAATCTTTATTTCCTGTTCTTGATTTGCCCCTTCTGGATTTTGATCTGCCACGATTTGAATTTCTTTCTGAAGTTCTCCCTCTAGACTCGGTGTGCAAGGCTGAGGAGGTTGATGCTTCACCCGATTCTCTTCGTCGAATTTCTTCACTCAATACCAGATCCCGAACATCGTCGAATTTTAATTTGCTGTTTCCCGACGAACTGCTGACTGCTGTAACAGTAGCATTCCAACTGTCTGGTAGAGATGATAAGAGAATTAAAGCTCGAACTTCATCATCGAACTCAATTTCCACTGAACTCAACTGAGTTGTGATTGTGTTGAGTTCATTTAGGTGTTGTGCCATCGATGCCCCTTCCGCCATCCGCAAATTGAATAATCGCCTCATCAAATGAACTTTGTTTGAGGCCGATGGCTTCTCATACATACTGGAGAGAGCCGCCATAAGACCCGCCGTGGTCTTTTCCTTTGCTATGTTGAAAGCAACATTGCGGGATAACGTCAGTCGGATAACTCCGAGGGCTTGTCGGTCGAGAAGAGCCCAGTCTTCATTCTTCATGCACTCTGGTTGCTTTCCTGAGAGAGGTTGATAAAGATTTTTCTGGTACAGAAAATCTTCAATCTGCATCTTCCAAAAGCCAAAGTCCGCACCATCGAACTTTTCAATTTTCACCTTCCCTTCGTCTGCAGCCATCGCTTCCACTCGAATCTGGCTTCTTTTGGATCGTTTCTGACAATTCTTGCGAACCACCGTGTATTAGAACACCACTGTCGACAAACTCGTATCGCCGACCGAAATTTCACTATTCACGTAAATAGTAATGAATAGTAACCTCGCAGAAAAATTGACAAAATTCACAACCAAAAGCTCTGATTACCAGTTGTTAGGAAAATAAACCGAGTACAAATAATTTCCCTATAACCATATTAGTGAGAATGCGAAATAAAAGCGGAAAAATAATACCCGAAAATTGATAACGGAGTTCAGCCAATTGTGCTTACGTCTCCGGGCTGCTGCAGATCTTTTACTAAGAGAGAAAATTTACAGGTGTTTACAAAACACTCACTACTCACAAGAAAGCTCTCTAGTATAGGAAGAAAGAAATGTTTTGGGATGATTTTGAAGCTAAATGGGTAAGGGTATTTATAGTAGAAACTTAGGGACTAATCTTTGAAAATACCCTAAAGTGCAATGACTAAAGTGAATTTACCCATTCCTATTTTCAACAAACATCTACCAAAATTTTACCAAACTTTGAAAAACATTTTTCAAAGAAACATTTACCAAACTTTGAAAAAAACATTTTCCAAAGTTGGTTGCCAAACTTTGAAACTTTTAACAGCTTGAGCTTCATAGGAGATCGTGACGGCAGCCTCAGAGCGTTCAGTGACGGGGAGGTGAGCAAGGAGCTTAGAGACATTGCTTGCACCAAAAACCTTGTGGATGGCTGCAAAATGGGCAGCACCTTGTTCATGGCAGAAATAAGGCGCAAAAACACAGCCTTCAAGGCATTTTCTTCTCAGGAACTTGCAGGCACCACAAGGGGAACCAGAACCAGTCATATTGATCTCTTCTTTTATGGGGTATTTTTTTCTTAAGTGGTATTTGGCTCTTAGAGAGAGAAAGAAAATAGGTTTAGAGGTAAGCATTATGAGCAAAAAGGGGATTATAAACACTGGAGGAAGATGGAGGTGGAACATTTAATAATGACAATTGGTCCCCTTATTGGCCTACAGATATCACATTTTCATTACTGTTATTCTTTTTCCTTTTCAAAAAACACCCTCCTTTTGCTTTGTTTTGCATTGCTCTCCCCCTCTGATCTAGTTCTAGTTTATTGTTCTCTCAAATCATATTCCATTTCGTTTCTTTCTTGTTTGATGCTTAATTATATATTCTAAATATTACCACCTCTTTCCTGTATATAAATGTATGTGTGTGAGAGATAACTGCAATTAGTGATGGATCAGGAGGTCCTAAAGTTTCTAGATATTTTTTATTAATAATTTATTTTTATTTTTTTAAAAAATCTTATAGATTCATCTCTAATAAAATATTATAAATTCATTCTTCTAACACAAATTCTAGCTACAACTACATAAATTTATAGACTTTTATGTTCTTGGTAATTTATATTGCTGGCACTATTTAATGTATTTATATCCTTTTATTAATAATTATAAATATATTTTTATTGGCGTCTTAAATCGAGTTAGTCTTAATACAGATACGAGAGAGTTGTTAATAAAATATTTTTAATAGTTTAAGTTTATTATAAAGTAATATTTATTTTTGATTTCTTTAAATCATTAATAACATATATATATTCTGCAAATATAATTATTTTCAAAAAATAATATTTTAATCATTAAAATTACTTGATAGGTTAAATAGAATCTTGTTTATATTAGAGAACGAAGGTCAAATTTCTTGCCCAAATCTTAGGCAAATAAATATGTGTATATTGGCAGTTTAACCGAACCATCTATTTAACATGAGGAGCGGTGATTATTTTTAATTATAGGATTATTTCATTAATCGAGGTCTAAAATTTGCAGATAGAGCATGCATGCGTGGCTCATTATTAGGTAAATCAGAGGAATCGGTAGCTGAACCCTCGTGAAGCACATATTATATACGGCCCAATTAAATAATAATAATATCTTACGATTAAATTAATTGTCTCATTTGGATAACTTGAAAGGTTTGTTTAAGAGGTACGTAGAGACGATCATTTTAAAATCTGGGTGTCCATTAAAAAATCAGAATTTTGTAAAAACGTTTGTCTCGAATAATTTGAGACTCGAGTTAAAAAAAAATATTCGTGAAGTCACCACTAATATTTATTAGAGTGTGACTGAACACCCAAAAATATATTTATCATTTTAATAAAAATATTAATTTTAATTAAAACGACAATTTTACAATCCGCATTACCAAAAATTTAAATTCGGTAGTCGGTTACACGTGGGAAATGATTAATATTTATTAGGGTTAAAAATATTAATTTCAATGAGTATAGGGTTGCTATTCAAGGTATGAACATGCAATCTATATGATTGGAAAAATTACTCTCTTTCTCCCTCAATGTATTATATCTATATTTATATAGCATGAATCAATTTACCTTAGTAGTTAAAAGAATTCTTGTTGTTTCTAGAGGTCATGGGTGCTGCACCGAAGTGATTGATTGAGCATTCATAATCAAATGATTGAGAGTATTTAGAACATATATTACTTTTTAATCACTTTAGCTTAATAAGAACAATACTATATATAGAATCCACTTGAAAGTGAATTTCAAAATAAGTAAACAAGTCCTTATGATTAGAAGAAATTCTAAGACTAAAATCATACAACAGTAAAATTAGAAAATTTTCACAAGAGTCAAAATAAATTATAGATTTTAAAATTTTTAAAATATAACTTTATCGTTTCTTTAATTCATAATTTTAAAATTTTAAAATGATTAAATTAAAACTTTATAATTTTATAAGAATCAAAATGTGATTTTACTATTACTTTAATTTAAGATATTAAACTTTAGCATGATTTAATTTATCAAAATTACCTTAGTAATTAAAAGTATAATAATTATTTCTAAAAATTTCAAGCTCGAACACCAACGATTACAGTATGTGTAATTCACCTATTTTAAAGAATCCTTAAAATCTTGTAAACGTGAACTTTATCAAAATTACTATCCAGTAAAGTCAATTTATTATAATTTTGGATAATTCTTATTCATACTCACTATTTTTAATGTTATTTTAAATTTAAATTTATTTTATTTCTAATAAATTTATAATTCCATGTTGGACATGTTTGAATTTCTATTTTTCATAATTAAATTAGATTGATTTAATTTTTTATCAATTTAATTGAATCAAAATTTCAGTCAAGATTAACAGATTAAGTATATAATTTCTATATAAGTTAAATACAACAATAATCAAACAAACAAAGCTGTATTGTAAATGTAAGCCATGATTAGAAATTAGGGTAAAGTACACAAATGGTCCCCTGACTATAGGATACTACTTTATTAAGTCCATTGACTATTAAAAGTTACAAAATGGTCCTCCAGTTATAGAATGATGCTTTATTAAGTCCTTCAACTATTGAAAGTTTCAAGAAGGTCATCTGAATTCATTATGTTCCAAAATAATCATTTTCCGTTAAAAATTGGTGGTTGTCTAAGTTGAACGTTAGCATGATGACTGAGATATGATAGTCGTTTGAGATTTAGAATCATATTTTATCATATCACTGTCAGTAAGTTAACGTTCAACTCAGAATATCTTCAATTTTTAACGAAAAAGGACAAGTTTGGAACATAATGAATAGTCGGTGACCATTTTTCAACTTTTAATAGTCGAGGGACTTAATAAAGCTACACTATATAGTCGAAGGATCGTTTTGTAACTTTTAATAGTCAAGAGACTTAATAAAGCTACACTATATAGTCGAAGGACCATTTTGTTACTTTTAATAGTTGAGCGACATAATAAAGTAATACCTTATAGTCAAGGGACCATTTGTGTACTTTACCATAGAAATTATTAATAGTGGTGATTAAGAAAAAAATATTGTAAAAGTCAGACATCAAATGGTGGATTACTAGTTAATACTGATCAAAATACAGATAATCAAAGTGCAAAAAGGGAACATATTATAAAGGAAATATATTGGACAGAAAAGCAGCAAATATTCCAAATCTGAATGGAAACAAACACTTGAAATGAAGGAAGAGAACAGAAAGGAGGGTGTTAAGCATACTTAATGGAACTAATTTGATTAGTTTAATCATTGCATGTAGGCCAGGGCTTGTCGAGCAACACATAACATTTATCATAATTAATCTGTAATAATGATATAGTATAACTATTTGTATGCTAGTGATGGATCATTTCATATTTAAGAGCAGTAGTATTAATTTACTAATCATATTGCATATCATTTATTTATGTAAATATTAATTAATGGCTTATGATTGTAATTTAAGATCGTTTAGATAAATAAAAATATTCATATATTTACGAGAAAGTGATCCATTTATACTATTTAAAACAAACTAATATTTCCATACTTTCATGGGCGAACTTGACTTTATAAAACTTTAGGAGTAGACGAAAACAGATTTTCAATAGAAAATACACAGAAAAAATATAAAATATATGATAATTTTATATTTTTAAGGGGGCGAGCGCCCCCACCTGCTCCCCCTAAGTCCATCCTTGCATATCACATGATGTTATTAAGTGACATTTTTCTAAATTTATTGATTTTTAATAATTTAAGTAAATAAAAGAAGTTACAAAATTAAATTATAAAAATATATAGTATACTAATTAATGACATTAATAAAACATACATCTCAAATTAAAATATGGACATTAAATTTCATTCCTAACATAGTATAGAGGTCAAGTCTATAATTGGACCGATTTCATTAATAAATTTAAGTCCCATAAACAGCCCATATTCAAAAGATACAATAGTATGAAGAACATGGGATAATCGGCACAAATTGGAAGTGTCTTCTAGCAAAAATGTTTTTTATTATCATGTAGAACATGTAATCACATGATCTTAAGTGGGATTACAATGTCATTAAGCCTTTAAAGGATGTAGTTTATGATTAATTAGAACAATAATCAGCTTTAAAGTCATGCAAACTTCTGATTTCTCATTAAAAAGAAAAATCCCCATTAACTTAATGCACAAATTAACACATTATTACACGGATATTTTCATATGTATATATATTAACATTCTAATTTGGAAAATCATCATGTAACTTTATTTATTTATTAAAAAATCAATGATATTAATAAATTTTATATAATGTTTAAACTATTTAAATTCATATTTACTCAATTTATAACTAAGATGTTTCATTTGAAGAACATTTAAATGTACATTGATATGTTTTTTTATTTATTTTTTTATTTTTACGAACCCAACGACTTCGATAGTAAAAGAATTGTTGTTATTTCTTGACGTTCCAGACTTGAACATCAGGAATACTACGAGTGTGAGCATTCAATGTTAAATGATTAAAACATCTATGAACAAATATTATCTTATATTTACTCTAGACTACACGTAGACATTCATCTGTACCTTTAATCAACTTTTTATTTTCAAACTATTTTTTTTACTTTTAACATTTATTTATTAACAAAGACAGCATCTTCATCCGAATCTTGTTCTTAGATTTTTGTCTCGTTCTTTTATTAATTAATTAAATCTTATTTATTTAACCGATATTGAACCATATCAAAGAAGCTTCGGGTGAATTAATTATGGGTGAAGAGAAAATAAACAAAATCAGAAGGTGAGGTGAAAAGAAACCCTTAAACTGTTAAATACATGCTTCCACTGACAAAACCTTTCATCAACCTGATATTAAAATCAATGAAGGATTTAATTTGTTAGGGTTGTAAATGAGACGAGACAGATCGTAAATTACTAGAGATCGACTGCGTCAAAGCTCGATCAATACTCGAATCAAATGAACTCGACTCGAATTTTTAACGAGCTAAAACGAACTACTTAA